GGTTGAACTTTGGCTGAAGGGAGGAATCTCCAATGTATCTCTGACAATGAAATTCAATTTGGGGATTACAGGTTACCTGGATGGTAAAGGAAAAAGAAAGTAAGCCATTGGGAACTGAGAACACCTTTGGCTTGCTTCCTGACGTTAGAAGTCTCCAGAAGATACAGCACAAATTATAACCACAGAGGGGGATTTTTGATCATTTTTAGAATTAAATGGTTGATCAATTTTCTAGTTAAATTGTAATAGTGATAGTGTTGAATAATATTTAGACAGTACAACTTTTAGCTTGTGTGACTTTCCTTGTTTGTCATTTTAAATTTGAATATCTTTCTAAAAATTATAGATGCCTATGGGCACTATGACACTAAATTCAGTATCTGGTAAAATTGGTATTGCCCATCCCTAGCGGGTCGATACTCACGTACTGTCAGATCTTGGGTTTATTTTCATCCTTGCTTGTTATCCCACATTGCTTGCCTGTTTTGGGAGTTTGAATTGTCATGTTTCCGCAGTTGAAACAAAGGATTAGCCTCGTGTTGAGTCTTCGTAACATGTAGTCTCACTCACAATTAGGTACTCGGTTTATGTCATTGTACAACATCCGTAAGACTTCTGTATAGGGGAGCGTAGTTGAATTTTGTTTTATTCCAATGAAGGGTGAAAGGAAAAAGTGATTTTTCAGAAACTATTTACGCGTATGAAATAAAATGTATCTAACATTTCAAATGACTGTGCAATCTTGAGTCATTGTGTTTTAAGTCATTTGCTTCAACGTTCGAAGGATTATTATGTGCACTTAATGTCAGGATTTCCATTTCAATGTTATTTTGCATTGAGGTGATTGTAGTGTATGTGACCTAATTGACACCATTTTGGAGTAGCCTGTCCTGTTTTCTGTCCATTCAACGTCCAATTCTCCTGCACCCTGACCTTTTGATTCACAACCTTTCTCCTTGTTGAGGTTCCTGTTTGGTGATTCCATCTCCGGCCATTATTCTTGCCAGATAGCTTGTTGCTGATTCACCAACCCGCAGAGCCTCCTGCTTGATCCTTCCCAACCCTTCCATTTACAGCTTGTCTTCCTTCCGTGCTCACTTACTCCTTCTTACTAGTCCTCTCACATACCCTTCCTCCCCATGAAAAGGGAAAGGCAAGCTAAAATGAGTTGCAGATAAGAAAATCAGTGGGCAGAAGGTCAAAGAGTTGGGAGGGTTGGGAAGCTGGGTGAGTGACAAGTGGAAATGTGAGCAAACAAGATCAGGGATCGCCGTTTTCAGCGAGCAGGAGACAAGTATAAAGAGTTACCGTATTCCAATCTATTTTTACAAAATTTTAAAAATCATTTCATTTCCAGGAATATAGGAATGTTGATTATTTTAATTTAGAAGAACTCGGAACTTGAAAGGATTTATAGAATCGAACTACAGTTTTTACAGTGGTTACAGTGGAGAAATTTGATTTACCTCTTTTATGGGCAGCAAGGTGGCTCCGTGGTTAGCACTGCTGCATCACAGCGCCAGGGACCTGGGTTCAATTCTCGCCTTGGGTGACTGTCTGTGTGAAGTTTGTACATTCTCCCTGTGTCTTCGTGGGTTTCCACTGGGTGCTCTGGTTTTGCCCACAGTCCAAAGATGTGCAGGTTGGTTGGATTGGTAAATGCAGGGTCACAGGTAGGGGGGATGGGTTTAGTTGGAATACCCTTCAGAGAGTAGGTGCAGACTTGATGGGCTGAAGGGCTGATTTACACACGATAGGAATTCTGTGATTAAAACTATATCATTTAAAGTTGCATTCTTGAAAAGTGCAAGCACAATGTTCACCAAGACTCAGTATTTTATTGAATGTTGATTATACAAGACAGAATACAGGAAAGGGATTGAGTGCTTAGCGGCATGGTGGAAAGTCAACAACCTCTCCATCAACATCAGCAAAACGAAGGAACTGGTTAGTGACTTCAGGAAGTGGAGAGGAAGGCACGCTCCTGTCTGCATCAGTGGTGCTGAGGTGGAGCTGGAAATAATCAAGAGTGCCAAGTTCCTGGGAGTGATGATCACCAACAACCTGTCCTGATCCACCCACATTGACGTGTCAGTCAAGAGAGCACAGCAATGTCTCTACTTCCTCAGGAGGCTAAGGAAATTCAGCATGTCCATGAGGACCCTTACCAGTTTTTATAGATACACCGTAGAAGGCGTCCTATCTGGATGAAACACAGCATCGTAATGACAGCTGCTGTTCCCAAGATACCTTCACATTCAGTGCATTGTAAATTCTTACTGTGATTTTGAAGTTACATAAGGACTTCCCATGCTTTTAGGTTTACCTTGCACCCAATTAATAGTTTATAAGACAAAGAAGGGACCTAAGGGGCAATTTTTTTCTTGCAGATGGTGGTGCATGTATGGGATGAGTTGTCAGAGGAAGCGGCGGAGGCTGATACAATTATAACATTTAAACGGCATCCAGATGGATATATGAATAGAAAGGGTTTAGAGAGATATGGGCCAAATGCTGACAAATGGGACTAGATTTATATAGGATCTCTGGTCAGCATGGATGAGTTGGACGAAGGTTCTGTTTCCATGCTGTATATCTCTAAGACCGCATGAAACTACAGAGGTGTGAACACAGCCTCGTCCATCACACAAGCCAGTCTTCCTTCCATTCACTCCATCTATACTTTCCTCTGCCTTGGGAAAGCAACCGACATAATGAAGACCGCTCCCACCCCCTGTTATACTCTCTACTCCCTTTTCTGTCGGACAGAAGATCTAAAAGTTCGAATAAATATACAAACAGGTTCATGAACAGATACTTTCTCATTGTTATCAGACTTCTGAATGGAGCTTCCCAGTGTAAATGTTGTTCTCTCTCTCTCTGCACCTTCACTAGGGCTGTAACACTGTATTCCACACTTTGCTCTGCTTCCCTGATCCACTTTGTATGGTACAATCTGGCTGTATGGCATGCCAAGACAACTCTTTTCACTGTATCTCAGTACGTGTGACAATGATGAATCAAGCCATCAAAACTATCAAACTGATTGTTGGAAAATCCATCTGGTTCACTAATGTCCTTTAGGGAAGGAAACTGTCATCATTACCTGGTCTGGCCTACATGTGACTCCAGATCCACAGCAGTGTGGTTGACTCTTAACTGCCCTCTGGGCAATTAAGCATGGGCAACATATGCTGCCTAGCTAGTGACATCCCTCATCCCATGAAGGAATAAGTAAAAGCAAGGAATAAGGAAGAAAAAAAAAAGCAACTTCTTGCTTAGAAGAGTCTAACATGGTGTCGTGATGTAGCTGGCTTGCTTCTTGACTTGATGTTTTGTCATAAAGGTTATATAGAAAGTCACTGTATTCTTGTACACTCTTGGTGACTATTTTCAGCGGAAGCATTATTAAGTGAAAGTCCTAGTATTAAGGAAAACTCAAAACTGCAGCAAAAGAAATGTATGGCAGCTTGGCAGTCAGGGAGGTACGGAAATTGTACATTTTAACTGCTCTGACTGTTGGTCCTGAAATTTGATTCAAAGAATTGTAACCTCGCTTTACGGTTTGTGAGTTTTTGTTTATCTTTAAACATTTGTAATTGTTGTTTTCAGCTTACACAATACTAACCTATCAAGCTAGCCCGCACCAAGTTGCATTAACATTAAAGTTATTGTGGCATTTATAACCCATTGGCCTTCTGTGTCAAGAGTATGACATCAAACTTTTTGAAATTATAAAATTCTTACAGCAAGGCACTGATATGACTCATTGCTGTGGCATTTCTTTGGATCAGTAGACACAACCCAATTTCAACCCTGCTCATTTACCAAGAGAATTAAAATCTATTTCGGTTTGATTGGAAAATGGGATGGAGAAATTCTTATTAATTATTCAAAATATTTATAATAAGCAGCATTGCTATGTTAGAATTCAGTTAACAACTTTAACTGTTGGGCTTAACTCACTCTCACTAGTGTACACAGATAATGTCTTCAGTTCATTTGAGCTATTGGGGACTTTAAACACTCAAACAAGAAGAATGTTCCTTCTTATTTTCAGCCATTGACATTCTTTGCAAATTCTTTTTCCCTATGTGAGAAACCTGATCTTTTACAGTGAAACAACTTTTGGATGATTAGATTGTTTAATAAGTCCCAGCTGAAGTTTAATGCACTGAAATACAATTGTGGAAGTACAGCTGGAATGTCTCGAATACGTCTTAATTGCTTTTTCTTGAATTACAACAAATATAGATGGCTTTCTGAGCCTATATTTAAAACCCTGTACTCACAATTTCACAAATTTACGTCAATCAAAGTGGAACTCAAAGCAAAGTAGACAAAATTTCTGAAGTTTTCATCAAGTAATACTTTTCTCTCTTTGTCTCTGACATGACAAAAATGATACCACTTAGCAGGCATAATGTTACTGGTAATTGAAACAAAGATTTAAACTTATTTTTGATACGTTCTGTGAAGTGGCTCGGCGGCTGATAAAATTGTTCAAGCCCAGACGTTCTTTTAAAAAAAAAATCAGTCTCATTTAATCAAAAGGTTAGTGTTGACAGCACAGTCATCATTTATTTTGATTTCTTGGTTAATTGAGGCACATGCACTTCTTGTCTTGTCTCATGTGTTGCTGTTCCTAATTTTGGATTATTTTGGAATAACCGGAGAACTTTGGAATTATGTTCCTATCCCTAATTTATGTCATCCGTATTTGTCTGAATCACATCTAACTGAGTTATATGATTATTAAAAACAATTGCACTTCGAATTAACAAGAGGCAAAGGGAATAATAAAGCAATTTTTTGATGTTAAACTTTGTTTAACGGTCATGACTTTTAAAAATAAATCAGACTAGGTGATGATGCAATGATAGGGACAAGTGTTTAGTGTATTCATTATAAAGAAAATTGAGGTTGACATGTTTCATCCTGTCTTCATTAAACCTTTTCTTGTTGTATAGTTTTTGATCCCCTCTGCTTTGTTATTGCAGATATTTGGTTTCCAGGCAGGCCTGACCTCCTTGGATAGTGAAGGATCATTCTGTCCTCCTGTCCCGGTCATTCTTCCTTTCAGCACAGCCTTTTATGGCAAATTACTTCGACTTCCATCATATTGGTGAGTTGACAGCCATTCAGAATGTGCTAGAGGCTGTTCATTTTACTGTACTATTAGATTGTCCTTGTACACTGATATCATTGTATTCATTTGCATTTCCAATGAACAGTTGGCTAATGAAATAACGAAATGGTGAAGTCACTGTTTTAATAACTTAGTAAATCTGTGTTTAAATGTGTTTTGAAATTCATTGGCATTCACTTGGGAATGCTGCCTGAAGTGTTTTCATCAACATGAATTGAAATATATATATGCATTACTGAGGTCACTGATATTTTAGTCGATCTTAGTCATCATCTACAGAGTAGAAACTTGCTGTGTGCTATCATGCACTGTTCAGGAAAGATGTTCCATGTAATTGCTTCTACTTCAGTGATATACTGTCCATGACCATCTCCAACACAGCATGTTCTGTTCTTCAATTCTACTTTTAAGTACAGAGTTTACCTGTTCTAATGAAATGATTATACAAAGGCTGATGCCGAAATGTTTACTTGTGAATGAGTCGTCTGCCTTTCTTCATTTCCTATTTCAAATAAGTCCGTTCTTAATAAAGAGTGCTTTTAGTGGCCCCTGTGGAAGTGTAGAAGACAATGGAAATGATAACACAAATGCCCTTAACATGACCTACTTCAGCCAATTTGCTGTGTTTGGACAGCTTAGAAATGGAACCTGAGGAGCTGTGCCATTCCAGTCATATGGGATTTTGCTCAGTGTGAAGTGCTTTCTAGGCTTATGTGGAATGCTTTAGCGAAACTTTGCCAGTATACAGTGCTTTGCTCAAAAGTCCATTATTTATGTTTATTAGCATTAGTAGACTATTATTGAAAGGGGAAGGGGGGAATTGATTTTGTCCAGATGCATCTACCTTCCACTTGGATAGCACTGGGAAATAGTAACAAAGAATGACCTCATGATCTTGAATTCACTCAACTCCCCTTCTTCCAATATGGCTGAGTTCAACTCGCATAGCTCAAATCAGTAATTTAAGCAAGGGGCATTTCCTGGATTGTATGGTGCAGTACTGCAGCTAGTTATTTACCCATTTAGCCACTTGTGTGGTTTTAAAAATTGTTTTCCAGTGAAATCTTGGTTTCCTAAAACTCTAGGATCTTTTTCAATAACAGTTGTAAGGGTTTGCGTATTTGCCAGTGAATGTCCAGCAATGTTGACCGTAATATATTCAAATGATTTTTTTTATTAGAATGAAAGCATTATAGTGTGTACTGAACAATGTGCATTTATTTAATACCAAGGTGTATCCATGTGCAGCGGATTGCAGAAAGGCCATAACGGCTAACTGCTCTGAGAGTAATTAGAATATTTGGTTTGCATCTCTGCATGCTCTTATCTTGATGAGTATGAAGTAGTGGAAGGATTGCCAGGCAAGTTCATTTTTTGATTCATTCATGAGTTGTAGGCATTGCTAGGCCAGGATTTATTGTCTGTCTCTACTCGCCCTGGAGAAGATGATGGGTTAGCTGTCTTCTCATGTGAACTCGCTTTCTGTGACTGAAACGAACATATCACCTACTCTGAGCGATTTTAAGTATCTCTTTGAATGCCTACACAGAATTTAGAACCACAGTTGAGCTCTGCTCACCAGGATTGTCTGGAGTGGATGGCCCCTAAAATTCTTGACTCAGGCAGGAATGTAACCAGAATGCCAAAGGCCCACCCCTTAATTAGAGGCTAGTGCTTTTTATTGAGGACAGCAGTTAATTATTGGATTTCTGCTTTTATAATTTAAAGATTGTTTTCATGTGTATCAAAGTACGACATCTGAAATGTGATAGGTTCAGAATACTTAAACACACTCCGTTACATACTTAGACATGCTCACTCACAGTCACTCTCATAATGTTTTGTTTTTATAATTAGAGGTTGCATGAACTAATGGTAATTTAGTAAAATGAAATTTGGATTTGAATTATAAAACCAAATGCTTTACTGGTAAATGAATATTGTTCAGATTTTAAGTGTTTACAGTTATGTTGGCTACAAGATTTCTGGATTTACTCTAGCATTAAAAACAATATTTACTTGTGTCAAATAAAAACTTTTGACTTGGCGTAAATCTATATGATCTATTCAAACATGACAGTATTTGAAGAGGTAACTTTAGCAGTGCCTTGTTATTTCTCTGACTACTGGTTATTTTCAGCACAACCAAAAATCTGGGGTCCATGATGGATTAAGTAGTTGAATTGCTTCACTTTTAAATTAGGAAAATGGATTAGACTTGATGTTTGTAACAGCAAGACATTGCCCCATTCCTGCTCCCATAAAGTCTTTATGAACACTTCAGAGCATTAGATGTAAATTTTAACCTCAAATGATGCGATATGTTCGCAGATTCTTTCATGTGTTACTTGTGCTGGACACCAATCAATATTAGGCATTTGAAGAAAATTCTTCTTGTATTGTCATTACTGCAAAGTGTTAGTTAGATATTAAAATTACATATACTTAAGGATCTTCTGCTTGCCAGAGTTTCTATTTGTTAAAATTAGGATTACAGAATTTTATGAAGAGATGAGGAGAAAATATTTTGTGAATTCTTGGATTTCTCTACCTCGGAGAGCTGTGGAAGCTTAGTAATTGAGTGTTTGCAGTAGAGATTGACATATTTCTAAATACCAATAATGTAAAGGCATATGGAGGTAATGTGGCAAAAAGATATTGAAGCAGAAGTTCCATCATAACCATATTGAAAGGCAGAATAGGCTTGAGGGCCTGAATGGCCTGTTGTTTCTGTGTTCCAATGAACCAAGGTAGATGGAGCTGAAAGACAGAGAAGCCATAAGCTTATTGATCTCAAGAGAAGCTGCCCTTAGGGACTGAATGGTCTACCACTTCTCCTGTGCATGTGGATAAGACAGGATCCTGAGTTGGAGACAAGACCTAGCACAGACATGATGGGATCAATGTCTTTTTTCTACGCTATAATTCCTGTGATTCCATTTGAATGGTAGCAGTTAACATTGGTAGCCATGTGGTGGTGTCTTAGTTGCTGGTTTGAAATGTATTCACCAGATGGTGATGGTGCATGGAGAATTGAGACAAATGTAATTATATAACGTGTAAAATAATGCTCTGTAAGAAGTCTCTTGTCAGGTTGTCAGTTGGATTTTTGAAGTTCATAGACATTTTTTTCACAAAAACAGATGATTGAAGGACTTAGAAGTACACTTCTATGCACCTGTTTTCATTTGAGCCTTTTAAAATTTGCTTTGCTCTTGATCTTGATAGTGTCAAGATAATGAAACGTTGACTATGAAAAGATTACTAGAATTTCATGTCTGGAAGCTATTCTTGCATGATGAGCTATACAGATGAATGGTGAGGGCTGAAAAAGCAAGTTACTTAAGAAGAATGTGTTGCTGTTAGCACCCTGGACTTCATTTTGGATTAGTGATATTGGGATATTTTTGCTTTAGTGTACATTCCAATAAGCGTAATGAAAATAAACTTCCCTAGACATCAGGCGAGATTACCTTTTGCTTTTTTTTTTTGAAATTTGTACGTGAGTTTCACATCATGGGTTGCTATGCTGGTCAAATTCAAAAGCAGCCTGCATCCTATGCTACAACTTTTGATCTTGTGTTCTTCTAATTCTTAATGCTATACATTTCCATACATTTCTTCCCCTCACAAAGATAACTTAAGTGCTGTGGTTCTACTGATTCTCAGTGCTCTTGGATTTCCTGATCAAGTAACATACTTAATTATTCTGTTTACAGATAGTGAAGGTTGGTGTGGTATGTGGCATTTAACAATGAAACATTGATAGAATCATAGAGTTGTAGAGCGCTGGAGCAGACCCTTCTGTCCAACTTGTCCATGCCGACCAGATGTCCCAAACTAATCTAGTCCTACTTGCTCGAATTTGGTCCATATCCCTCTAAACCCTTTCTATTTAAGTACCCGTCCAAATGCCTTTTAAATCTCGTAATTGTAATTGTACCTGCCTCTACCATTTCCTCTAGCAGCTTGTTCCATACACACACCACCCTCTGTGTGAAAAAATTGCCTCGGGTCCCTTTTTAAATCTTTTCCCTCTCACCTTAAACCTGTGCTCTGTAGTTGCGGAGTCCCCTACCCTGGGGAAAAGACCTTGGCTATTCAGCCCATTCATGCCCTGCATGATTTTGTGAACCCCTATAAGATCACACCTCAGCCTTCTATGTTCCAGGGGAAAAAACCCCGATCTATTCAGCCTCTCCCTACAGCTCAAACCCTCCAATCCCAACAACATCCTTGTAAATTTTTTCTGAATCCTTTCAAGTTTAACAACACAAGCAGGGAGCCCAGAATTGGACAAAGTATGACAAAAGTGGCCTCACCAATGTTCCGTACAGCCGCAACATGACATCCCAACTCCTATACTCAATGCACTGACCAATAAAGTCAAGCGTGCCAAACATCTCCTTCACCACACTGTCTACCTGCGACTCCACTTTTAAAGAACTATGCACCTGCACCCCCAGGTCTCTTGGGGACACTCCCCAGTGACCTGCCATTAAGTGTACAAGTCCTGCCCTGATTTGCCTTACCAAAATGCAATACCTCCCATTTATTTAAATTAAACTCCATCTGACACTCCTCGGCCCATTGAGCCATCAGTTCAAGGACCCGTTGTATGCTGAGATAACCTTCTTCACTGTCCACTACATCACCAATTTTGGTGTAATTTGCAAACTTACCATGACTCCTGTTTTTACATCCAAATCATTCATATAAATGATAAAATGCAGTACACAGAACATCGATCCTTGTGACATACAGCTGGTTACAGGCCTCCAGTCTGAAAAACAACTCTTCACTACCACTCTCTGACTCCTACCGTCAAGGCAATTTTGTATCCATTTGTCTAGCTCCCCCAGGATTCTGTGCGATCTCACCTTGCTAACCAACCTACCTTGTTCAATGCATTGCTGAAGCGTATTGACCATGTCTACCGCTCTGCCTTCATCAATCTTCTTTTGTGGCTTCTTCAA